TGCACGAGTGCTCCAGAACGAGCGACAATCATTACTTGACCCACGCCACCTGTAATTAATGTCAATACAATCTATCTGTGTTGCAGGGCGGCTTGTATGGGGGGCTACATGTGGTCAAGAACCTTTGGTTGTTTTGGAAGTTAGTACTGCACACAAACAGCCTGTGGTCAGCAAATAACTATAGCAGGCGTTCCACGTTATTAGTGCGTCTCGACTGCAGTCTAATACGAACATCCAACTGAGCCTCATGGGGGGTTCTTTTACCAACTTATGCATCCCTATCTCTGACAACCAAAACAATATCTGAGTTTTTAGCTCACCATCACGAGGCACTCAAGGAGTCACAGAAACCCTCTTGCAGTGTACAGAGTTACAGTGAGTTGGAGGTTAGGCAGATACAATGAGAATGTGAGAGAGACGAAAAGGGAGCGTCAGCCTGACCTGCTGCATATGGCAAGTAAGACTGAATAGAAGCTGAATCACATAGCGGTGTGAGGCTTTAAGTGCCCACCTGACCAACTCGCAGAATTTCGCATGCCTCACTGGTAAGTGCATAGGGCTATGAAAAACACAGTCTACTGATTCTCCGAGTTGAGATTTGAAACAGGCACGACAACTATTTCCTTAGAAACAGTATACTGCTAAACTAGTACGCCGGCACCCGCCTACGGCCTTGCAATCGGGCTTTTCAGCCAAAGACTTTGTTTGAGAACCCCAATCGTCCTCCTATGGAGGTCTGGGCGCCCTGGCATTATCTCAGCCCACGTAGAACCATGAACGTCACAACCAAAGACGCTGCCATGCCATATCGGCCGTCGCGTGGTCTCATCAGCCGCAACGCCTTACTTGCTGCATACAAGAAGAATGAGCAAAAACACCACTACTGACGCCTCCCTTCTTACACTCATGTATTCCCTGCTCTACCCTTCCCTATCCCACCCAAATACGAATACTCAGTCCGTACATTCCAGCACTAGAACTGATCGCATTGTTCGTCATGCTTCATGTTCAACTGTAGTTTATGTGTGCCCGACTTCATTAACACCCCAAAAAAACTCGAAGTCTGTTTCTTGCCTTAAATGTTTGCACACTGAAGTTAGGAGCATAGGAAATGACTGATACTCGATCAAAGAATTCCCCCTACAATGGTGTATGCTCTATGTCAGACGCCGGGATACGGGTGGATAGCACTACAATTAAATTAACTGCCCACTCGCTCTCTTCCATGCTCCGGCTCTCTGGGGTATCAACCAATATGTCGACACGAATCTATCATCGTGTATTCCGCGTTCAAATTCTTGTTTCATCGGGCCGAGTGCCTCTTCGTAGTCTTATTCAAGCTTATTTCGGTAAGCAAGGGCAGTGTTCAGCAAGTTATTCAATCTCACACATATGTGTAACGTACCTAGTTGAAATCACATCAATCATGTCTATTCCGTCGGTTCTGGGTATAAGCAGTGTCACCTAACCTCCAACCTTTTTTTAGGTGACCACGCGGCGTCAGATTTATACGAATCTGCTTCAAGCATCTGGCTCACGACTAGTTTAGGTGATAGCAACTAGATTTGTGCGATCCTGAAACAAGTTGAGCCCGACGCAGCTCCGTGTTTAACACTCGAACTTATCGATCGCAAGGTCCGTGGTCGGAACCCAACTTCTGCATTTCTTCCGCTCCTGTCTAGGTTTGAGCAACCGCACAATACCTCAGCCCTCGTGCTTCCTTTGGGTGCCTTAGCAGCTAGGCACCGAAAGAGTGCTGCAGCTGAACAATTAATTTTCATTTGTCTGTTACTGAATGTAGACTGTGGTATTCCCCGTACACATCAGCAAGGGGGTTCTCGATTGCCAGTCACTGATTGCACTCCACAAGCGGAAACCACGCGTGTAACTGGAATGTTTTCAGCTGCGATTAAAAAAGTGTAAGCGGGTAGAGCGTCACACGAGTGGGAAAAAAGAACCTACAATTCGCAGGTAATGCATAAATAACGCCCAAGGAACATATGGGCACATATTGTGGTACAACGCACAACAAAGTCCTATTTGATCACGAAAGGTACTCATTTTACACTACGACAACTCGGAACCAGACCTCAGTACAAATCGGTTACAGTGAACTCAGTGGGAAATGCTATCTGGGAAGTTAGTTCCAATGGAAATAGGCCAAGGTACTGTTAATGCTATGGTAGAACTCCTCAATGAGGGTAGCTCGAAAAATGTAAAAAGACCACTAGTATCAAATGGCCTTACTGCATACGCGACAACCTCCAATAAAATAAGGATAGAGCTTTCAACCAATTGGGATATGTTTAGGACCGATAATGAAGCCACTTTTACTGCAGGTAATCCACGAATGTTTACCTAACCCATGAGGGCCGAATAAAAGTTCACTTGCTCAAGGAACTGGATAGTGTATCCGCAGTTAATCATGCTGGTGACTCTGTACTGCGAAAACACCAACCAATATCGTTGAATTTATGTAAAACAGGTCCTTTATGGGGATTTTGTCGTATGCAGCGACAACAGCTGATCAGTGTTAATTATGTTCAACATACATAAACTTTATGTTGCTGCAAGATAGTTAATCCGTTCCCGTGCGTTCTAAGTGATTGAACGATAACAGCAGAGTTCATTCCACATCGGTTAGTGTTCATTATGACTCTCAAGGTCCTAAACAACAAGGTGGAGAGCACTTTTATCTCCATTCTAGATGCTGTTTCAGTGAATCCCATAGCCTGAGGGGATCAAATTCGGTTACCTCATGGACACAAAAAGACTACTATTGCCATAAAACAAAGGGCGCACAAGGTTTTTAGGCGATGGCTTCGACATCAGCAAAACCTAGTTAGGAAATGTTACCACAAACAGATACAATCACTAGAAATAACTCAGAAGATTCCAGCACTAGGAAAGATTTGTACACCAAAATATGCATTGGAAGACAGCAAGAATGAAGTCTGTGCGGATGTTGAAAACACCAGGAAAGCAAAAAAGCAATGGAAGCTAATGTGCAAAGTAACGTGCAAAACATTCACTTTATTACCACTAATCGCAAGTTGCTGAAACCCCTCGATGGTCCACTACCAGACTCTCCCCTCTTGAAGCCCATGAGGGAGACATAGTGGCTGTACGGCAGCGAAGCATCAGTGTTGAACACTGATGTCATGCTGTCGATGATGATGATGATCGGTAGTGGCAAAGTTGCCATCAACCTTGAACACTAAAATGTGCGAAATTTGAGCTGGTTGGGTCTCTCGTAGTGAAAGATATTTCTAATTGTAGGTAGATTATAAGCTTGATGGAACCTCGGGGACAATAAGCTCCAAGAAGAGCGAGATCTGTAATGAACCGGAAGAGTTCTCAGCGACTCCCGAAGTACACTCGGTTGCACACCAATTTACCTATAGCGGGAGACTTTACTGAATCATCTAAATGTGCTGCACAAAGATACGGTATTCGCACTATATTTTCCTGAAGGAGCACTATCCATAAGATTGTTGAGAACTCTTCAACAACCAGTGAACCAAATAAGGTCACAATAGCGGACGAAACCGCTGTGATTTTCTTCATTCGTTGTTTTTGCTTTTTGCTTATTTATGAAATAACCATTTTTCTGTCTATTGTATGTAGTCCTTCGTAACTCCCTATGCACATACTCGCACTCACTGAAGCATTTCCTCATATTGGGTCGTTATCCATTTCCGGATTGGCCAGTCACATTAAATTACACCAACGGATTCCCGCGCACAATGTCACATGTAATTTGTGCTCAGTCGCATACACGACCGTCTGAACGCCACATACCCAGAGTAAACTTGAGGGAATAAAGCAGGGGTGTGAACAAAACAAAATGGTTCTAAAACCAACAGCATGGTCAGCTGATGCTCCACAGTTATCAAATCATAAGCGGACGAATAAAGATTCAAAGTCCAGTGTATGCCAAGGTGGACTAATGACCCGAACAACATCCAGGGCGCACACACGGCGGGAACTCGGTCCTGGAATCTCCCAATAAAACAGGGCCATCGACATTTATCAAAACATATTCCCACGAAAAGATGTTTCCCGTTAAGAGGTCAATAAGAGAAATCCAGCAATGCCTCGTCACCTCTATTCGGCTAGTACTACTGGAAAGGCAAAGAGAGATGGAATTTTGGGCCATCGGCCCGGAACAAATCCAAAGGCTAGAGGAGCCTATAAGATGAGTAGCGAATGAGTATTTCCTGACAGGATGTGCATCTTCAACCAAAATTGGAATTTCTTTGCTTGGAAAGACTGCTTGGAATAATATTCTCAAACACCTCAGGCACTACTAAAACAACCATCGTTCTGTGCACCAAGCAGATTAAACTGAGAGCCATGAGACAAATAATTAGATCAGAAGTCTTGTAGATTCGAACGGACTGGAAGTTTCAAGATGAAATCAGTTGTTTCTTGAAACCTGCATGCAGCGTAACGGATGACACCTTGTATTTACCTTTCCTAAATTGAGTTCTAACATTGGAAGGGATGAAACGGTTTTCGGACTTTTGGAGACAAGTGCTACGGAGATGGCGTGTGTTAATCTGACCGTCTCAACATGGATGAAAACACTCCTGGTTTGGAGAAAACTATGGGAGCAGTATTCATCGAATGATACAGACGACCATAATTTGGAGATTTACGTAGAATTGTGATTGTTTTCATTGTCACCTTGTAGTTCACCGATTGTCAAGCACCCTCTAATTACGTGCTTGAACCATAACTCCGCTAAGTTTGCCATCAGGCTGGAGGTCCCCTTCACATATCACTGGTAAATGTTAACTTCATTCAAGACCCAATGAATGATTCGTTTCACATGGGAGCCACCGATACGCTATATAGTTTTTAGACAAAACTTTCATTGTATGCAGTTTGCTCTTTCCAGCGGCTTGAACAACGGTATTCAACATGTTCACAATAAACCGTCGCGAATCGATCCAGAATGTGTTTTCCCAGACCAAGGCCCACAACGAAGACATCGAATGTACCACCGCTTTCGGTTACTTCCATTGGTATAATTCAATTTCCCCCAAATACAATTGCGTATCCGTAAATTCTTCCCCAAAATTTGAGCCGTTTTGCGCACGGTCGGACGTCTCAAGTTCCGCCAATTCAACTGTCGACTGATGACTACATTGTCCTAGGTTAAATGTACCAGTTTGAGTTTACTGCTTCACCTATCCAAGGGTTCATTGCCAACCATGGACAACCATGAATTGATGAGCCACGCGATCGCCCTTTTCTTGCGTGCCTCCAGCCGAAATTCCCATACTGGTGACAAAACTGAACTGCACACAGTCATGAGTATAAGCTTGAATAAGATCCAGTTTCAACGTCTATGACAAAACCAATATTCTCGTACCACTTTTTTCCGCATTGGGTGCAGTCGATCCTAGTCCGCAAGGATTTTAACGAATGGATTCCGTCACTAATAGCTGTCGTGTTCTCGAAGATTTTCAGTCTAATTTTACCACAAAAGTTAGATGGATGGCTTTAAACGGTGCGAGCAAAACCTAAAAAAACAGCCCAAATCAAATCAAATGTAATCGTTCAGTTGCACTCTTTCAGTAGCCAGGCCATCCTAAGAAGCACGACGACTGAGATACTGTTAGAGTACCCAAGTCTAGACAGGAGCAGTAGAGATGCTGAGATCCACAGACCTTCCTGTCAGTGAGTTCGCGTCTTAATCACTGAGCTACCTCGAGCTCTGATGTGAGCAAGACTCTCCTATAGGGTATTCGGCGTAATCCGGATGCCTACAGCAAGAATTGTCTTGGTGGACCTCAAAGAGTTTGGATCTAGCTCAGATCGAGAGTTTTGCGGAGTACTACTTTTCCTGAGGTTATGGATGGATGCCTTTTGCTGCTGAGGGGCAATGAAATAGGTGAAGTATGGGTGGTGAAATTAAGTGGTATACCTCACAAGGAACGACAACTCTGAATTGGAGCTCTCCATTGATAGCTAATTTCCACATGGACCCCCCGTATCTACATTGGATTTATATTCGGTGGTCGCCAGGTTACACGATGCGACTGAAAATTATTACTGATTTATAAGCAATGAAGAGATGAATTTGACATGTGCAGCAAACATATACTTCGAGTCACGCCTCCGCAAGAAGCCGTCGGTAAGCTGGGGTGAGGACAACAGTCAGTATATCTTACCTGACGAGTCTTCTCTGCATAGGAAGCAGTCTCCTAGAGCAAATACACACCGTTTGTCGTGTCGTATGGTAGTGACTAACCGTTTGAGACAGTGTCTTCTCTATCCATCCCACAGAGCATGTTGTGTTCACACTTATCGTCTAGTTGCAGAGGCAAAACATGTGGATTATATACAGTAAAGAACAGGAAAAACGTTGGGGAGAAACTGATTTCTCTCTCCCACAAGTTACCTGATTAATGTCACGGTTGTGACTGACTCGAAAATCCGCCTAATTTGTCTACAGGACACTGATTTAGTCCGGAAGCGCGCAAGGTGGGACGTAGATGCTCAGTTCTTCACGTGGCTACACATATCGGATACGTTTGGAGCAGTGACATCACTCACTAAGACCCATTTGTCTTTCGACTTTACTGGATTATACGCAAGCAATCAGGTTCAGCTGCTGGGTACTCGGGGTGCGCAGGTTATAACGCCGACAGTTACCATCAGCTCGGACCCCATTGACATGGGAATACTGTTAATACGTGGGCAACGTGTTGCTGTAGAGGACAGTTGCTGTCGTAGAGGACAGTGGACTTAGACCTTAGACGACTAGCTGCAGTAAGGGAACTAGTTGCTGTTCGCGTGGACACATCTCTGTAGTCCCTTCGGCTTGTTGAGGGACGAAATTAATCGAAGCAGGCAAGCTCAAGCCAAAGTGGCATCTACAAGTCGAACTGACTGAATGGTTTTTAGGCAACCAAGAAGTGGTCGTAAACTAGAGTAAGACGCACTCACTAAAATACAAAGCGTTCTATTGTGTGTGCAGCGTCATAACGTGAACGGTTGTATATCTACCACGTGCTACGGACTTGACATCAGCTTCAGACTGATAGTTTGCGGCTGCGAAAGCGCATTATAGTCCTGATTGAAACACACGAACATGGATCGATGCTAATTTCAAACGGGATATCTACTCAGATAAGGTTGGTGACTGTGACCCATCTACTCGAACAAGCTAAAAACAGATTAGAAACACATGCCATGAGTAGTTCCTTAACGAACAGTCATATATTCAGGTTTAGTAATTGAACAATTGAGTTATAAACGTTCATATGACAATCTAAACGTAAATTTGCCTCACCGTGCAAGCTAAAACTGAATACTTGGGTGGCCCTCTGTTGAAAATATCGAGGGTTCGAAGCAAATTGCAGCAGTCTTAACCACGGTGCACCTCTTCCAAACAGTACACGAGGTGGAACCATCCTTTGAAAAGTTTTGAGCGTTAACTGTGTCTACGAGATGGGACTAGAATCAGTGCAGGGCACCGGCATTAAATATGAGAGTTTCTTCAGTGAATTTTACCCACCGCAGCGATGTAATTTGGGAGCTGGTAGGTGCACCCTTCGAAACTTTAGGTACATTTCGGCATCTTGAACCACTGAGACATCCCGGGTGAATTTGAGCGGGGAATCTTAGTACGCCGCATGGTCGAAATCGGACATGAGTACATGACCTCCCACCCCTCCATTCTGGCCAGATTATAAGAGGACAAGCGATACTGGCGAGCTTCATTGGTGCCGGTTCACGTGCATTATCAATGAAAGCGAGGTTGAGTATCAGAACAGTTGGCAGGGAACCACACTGGACTGGCGCTACCCATTTGCAAGGCCATAGTGCAGACCGCGAATTCGGAGGCCAACCGGTGATCAGGAACGGAAAACTAGTGAAACTCCGTAACACTGCCATGACTTACAGGGTCTTGAAGCTAACACCTCGCTCGTCTAACTACCACGGCTTTTTGGTGTTACAGACCTAAAACATCAGTGCGCATAGCAATCATCCGTACCAGCAAATCTATTCTAGTATCCACTTTGTCCGCTTGCTAACCATAAAGTCAAGTAGGACAGCGTCAAGAAAAGAGCTTTATACACCGGATAAACGTGATTGGCTAGTTGTCTTGTGATTTTGTCCCTCACTTTATTGCCCCTCTGCCTCCTCCAAGTGAAGTTTGTGTTCTTGAAGAAGTATTTTCGGCTCCATATAATGCTACATGGATGGTCCTTGAATTGTCCACGCAGCCAAACTCCTTAAATAGGCCCACGAATTCATTTTTCTGTTGTATTTCCCTACCATCTGACACTGGTCATCTTGACAGCCTTTATTTGACGCACCCCCGCCGGCTTCTAAATAAACCCACAACGTAACTCCTCCAAATGCGCAAAACTGTCGTTTTCGATTCGGTCTGTCGTCGTCCATCCTACAACATATCCTGCAGAGCGTCCGCGCAACTGCGTTTATCTACTCCCTGGCCCTAACTTCTCCAGCTATCCAGGATTGAGTACCTCCTCCATCTTGATTTGAGCTACTCACGTTAGAACAACCTCCTCTCCTTCTATAAAGAATCTGGGCCAACTGAACCTTGCCCATTTTACCTTTTTTTCTATCCTTTTTTCGGACATATTCGAGGAAACTCGAAACACATTTCTCTTGTGCCTTATTTCCAATTTCATGCCTAATAACTGTCTTTTAATCAAAGTCAAAAAATCCAATTGATCGATTGTTCGTATGTACTCAGCAATGCACCTCAACCTCAGCATCCAGTGCGGTCGTTTCAAAAAATCCAATTGATCGATTGTTCGTATGTACTCAGCAATGCACCTCAACCTCAGCATCCAGGTCTTGCGGTCGTTCTAAGATTACCTTCAAACACCTTCAAAAACTTCCCGTTCGATACCTTATTAACCAAAAGGTACCAAGAACCAAGTTCAGGAAGCCTCTTACACTTAGTTGTTTTATGTTTTTTATACTTTGCAACTTTTCTATGGTTAGCCGCTTTTGTGATGAATAAACGCTGAAATCCTCTCACCCATGCACAATTTAGCGGTTTTACGACAGAGTAGGAAAAGGTAAATGGATACGTGCGTCTACTCCACCAGAAAATATCCGACGTTACCGATATTAATGCTGATTGTTAGCAGAGCAATATAGGCTACATACCGTGCCCGATCGATGTAGTCGCCAAACAAACTAAGGCCAAAGGTCCCAAGTAGACCAGAGCATTGAAGGTGCTTATGAGGAAGATGGTGGTAAAGAACCGCACGGTCCAGTTCATCCAACGTGGTGGCAATCGTCCGACAAGTGACGTGATGAAACTAGGTATATATCTGGTGCAAAATCAGGATTGATAGGATCGGTTGCCATGTCTTCATCTTCACATCATCGCGGTTGGCAACACATCCACAGAAGATGGATCTGATCCTGGACTAGTCTCGCATGTTGGTTGCTGTGGTAAAAAGATGAGAGAAAATTGGTGAGGGAGAAAATCAAATTGAACAAAAGGTTATTACGATTACTCCCACCATGCTAATGAAGCCGGAAAAGATTAGGTATGGCGTGGAATATTTACTTCCGTTGGATGATGATATGATACCCCAACGTTCATACAATGCTCGACGCATAAGTCATCGTGGACAGCCTTCTTCAGGAGTGGAATAGTCGAAAGTACAAAACACAAGCAAACAAGCCAACAGCTTTCTTTCAAGAGGGTAAGCATATGCCTGCAGTTTGGGGTTGGATGTAACACATCATGAGTAAGGTTGGTCATGACCAGACAGCCCACATGGACAGACGGTCGTTTCGGTTGACGCAATCAGGTTAGATATGGATCACTAGAAGTCAAAAACAGGACCATCCTACATATGTCGAAAGTCTTGTTTGAATTCGTTCAGCCATGTGGTCATCCGCTAGAATGTATACAGCAAGCACTGAATAACTTTTGAGTTTCTGCTACTCAAAGGCGTTTTGATTTGGAAGAGAACAGTAGAAAGGTATCGCTGCTACAGAGATTGCGGTTATTGAGATACTTCGTGATTCAGCCTATACATCGGACACACAAGCAGACCTATCGGGAACTTCAGAAAGTGAGAAAGTCCAATAGTATAGCAAAGCGTTTCCCAATACGAGGAAGAATATTCAGGGAATAGCAAAAAGTCTCGTCAACCAGGGCGTTTCTTTGTTGGTGACGGAATTGGAGTTGTATCTATTTTACGAATGCACGTGAGGGTAGTTAAGGTATTTTGCTTCACGTGGACTGAAGACTACGGATATTCAGTCCTCTTGCACACCATTGAGGGGTCACGTCGACGAAGTCATTAAGAAAAGATAATTACCGTGCTACCATTTAAACTAAGGCAAGAACCACAAAACAATATAAATGAAAGTGAGTTCTAATAGGCTGAACTATACATAGCCTAAACTACGTCCAGTTCAGAAAAACTCGTTGGTCTGGTGCAAAAAGGCATCAGGAATGTTTGTAACATCGACCGCCTGACACGACAGTCAGTACGTAAAAGTCATGAAGGACTTCCATATTGGCGTTCCATATTGGGGAATTAGAAAACGTGTTCAGAGAGGTGCAACAGAGGAGCGATCACATCACCAGCAACCACAATGATTTTTGAGCTTTTAACCCTTTGTAGAAGAACACCTAGAGTGCCACGGAAACCTTGGCATGTTCAGGGCTACAGTCAGTTGAGGCGTTAGCAGACACAATAAAAAAGAAGCGATGGACCTCACCTTTTCGAGATTCGTCCACATATGTTGCCAAACGAAACGTGCAAGTGTAGCTATGACTAATGATAATAATAAGTGTTCAGCTGTAACACCCAATGCCTAGCTGCCAAGGCACTCAGAGGAAGTACGAGGGGCTGAGGCATTGTGACAAGCAGACCTATCGGGAACTTCAGAAAGTGAGAAAGTCCAATAGTATAGCAAAGCGTTTCCCAATACGAGGAAGAATATTCAGGGAA